GATTAGTAATGTGATGTTTTTGAGAGTTCCATTTTCATAGGAAATCATTAGTCGATATGCGTTAGTAAGTAGAAAATATCGCTTGTTGTTACCTCGAAGATTATGGTGCATTCCAGATGGTATGACTGATAAGAAGGCATAAATAGGGGAATGTGACGCCGAACAGGCAGTCGAGCTTGACGAGCAAGCCAGTAAAAAGGAGGTGCAAGAAACCAAGGAGATGCAAGATTTCTGTGGTATTTAATTTTCTCATTAGAAAAAAAATTATGTAAATTATAATTTACTCGTTTGATTACCCAAGTTTGAGGTATTCGTGCATGCAATAAAGTGTGATCTACCAAACGCCTGACAGAAGTACGGTGCGAGATTTGGGGGTTGAGGCGCAAATCGCTTTGATGGGTGATAGAATACAATAAAATAATCGAAAAAACAAACATATTTCGATTCACTTATTGATATCTTCCGAAGCGCTCTGATAACAGTCACTTTCTAACGCTAAAATGCATTGTAAAAGGAGGGACGTGAATTGAGGTAGTGTCAGACTAATTAAGAAATTGCAGTGAGTTACCTTGCCAGTCACTACCAAAAACGCATGAGCAGAGACAAACATAGATTTTGATCAGGAACTTGAGCAGCATCCGAGCAATAAGTTGAGTAGGCGCAAGTGTCGCACTATCATGCATGAATGGTCCAGTGGTTATAACTCACCCATTCGAAGCGCCATCACGGTTCTGAATGGGAATCGATGCGGAGCCATTCTTAATCTCTTCCCAATAATGATCGACGCCAGGGGCTTCACCTTTTATTCCATCAGGACCTGTTGACCTAGTAAGGTAACATATAATTCATATTCCACGAATGTCCTTCCCTGAGAGTTCTCTTTACTGAAGGATCTCCAGCCGATTGGTGACGAGAATATGTGACGCGACCTCAGATGGCGGATGGGGACGTAAATCGCGGACCAAAAGTCACACGTACTTGCTTATATATGCCCTATTTCTGTAATGCTGGGTCGATATACCTATAGTGTTTCGCAGCATACATGTGTGGAGTATTTGTGGGTGCGGTTGGTATCCCGCACCTTGGCTCAGTCAAAAACTCGCATTTGACAGGGAAGTATCCAGGGGCGATTCGGGACGCCTTCAAGAACTGATCCTCTTGTCCTCTCTGGAATAGCGTGGCTAGTTATCCGAAGTCGAGTGAGTTTCTACGTCAGAGCCTGAAGAGCTCGTGGGTATCCATAAGCCAAACGTAGATTTATAAATGGGCCTCATCCACTGGACTCGAGGGAGCCTTCAGTACAGTGGCGGTGGTTAGGACCGGTCAAGAGAGTCTACTAAAACTACGGGGCGAAAGTAGGTTGAACAAAGGAGAAGGACTAGGATGGCGATCTTCCAAGGGGCGAACCCTTGCATCGGAAGCGTGTATAGAAGATCTTATGATACATGCTCGGAAGAGCAAGTGAGAGGTTATCGGAATGTTTGAGACGAAAAGGCATCGCCACTTTCGCGCAGTTCTCGAGACTAGAAAAGAACTGTACTCTCGGAACATGTGAAAACACGGACTTCATTGGAATAGAGGTCTTCGTCAATACAAATTTGGATGTAAATATGGCTTCGTACGAAAGCTTGATCACCCGAATCGGACGTTTGCGATTGAGGAGAAGATGTTGCTCAACTCCAGCTCCAACAACCTACGTTGCCTCCGCACCAGCATCAAGCTACGAAGAAGAGGAGCTGGAAGCATTGATCTTCAAGAAGGAGTTTCTTTCACACTTCCTTTAGAGTCGTCGTTGGTGATCAACAACATGACTGGCCCAGAGTAAAGGTTGAAAAGCTACATATCGAGACTAATGAACGGAATGGGATGAGCAAGGTGAAAGACTGTCCGAGCTGATCATGTTGGCCCAAACCATCCAAGATAATTCGCAGCTCCATCGGCCCCTAGTTTGCGATTGACATGGAAATTCTTGTTGGAGAGCTCACAAGAAGGTGTGAAGTAAATAATGTGAAACAAGAAGAACAAAAAATAGATCCAGACATCTCCAATAAAAGGTTTTCCATGATTAAAGTCGCTGTTGTTTGGGTACAAGATTCTGTTTTCAAATGCGTGAAGTGTGCTGCGAAGTCCATTAAATGGAGGCCCAAGACCATTAACGAGACCACTTCGCTTACCCTGCGAGTTTTCGAAAAATTCCGTTATCAACAGCGTCGGTGAAAAATACAATCGAGCATGGGTAAAATCCGCCGGAGCTTCGCTAAGAACTGAGACGACTTCTCTTTGTTGCTCTGACGGAGCACTTAGGGCGAGTCCATGGGAAATATAGGTCATTTACGGTCTTCTACATGGTTTTTTCAATAGCCACGTCGTAATATGGATATGTCGTTCCTTCAATATTCTCTTCCGAAATTTCGAATGCAATCACGTCAACAATTATTGCACGAAGAATCTACAGAACGTTCTACAAGTTGTCGTCAAAACACTGATTATGTTCTTCGAGCGGTAAAAGTCAAAATGCAAAGTAAGATAAAATCACGTCAAGAAACAATAACAAGATTACGTTGCCTAAGATAGGAGATTTTGGTGACTATCGCCTAATCTGCCTGTATGTAATCTACCAATTTTTCACACAAGACAGATTCGCTCGACTTATCAGAATATCGAGTGAGGTACAAACATGCGACTAGACAAGTATTTGGAGAGGGCTCACATGCAAACTATTAATTCTCATTAAAGTACCACGAAAATACAGGGTACGTCATGCCTGACGTTCATCCATAAGAAGAAGACCTTCACACTGTCAAGGAATAAGCGGTGGTTGAAGCTTTGGGCAACGGGGTTGCTATTCAGTTTCAACATAAGGACGATCTGTGAGCTCTAGGATAACTTCGCAACCAACTTTTCGCCATTCTGTAAAGGAAGAGGGAGGGGTCTGTAAGGCGATTCGTCGTAAAAGTGATCGGAAGTTCAGCGGGGCGACACAATCTCCGCCCAAACTGTCGACTGCCGGTCTCGAAAACATCGTGCGTCAGACATTGGAAAGACTTGGGGGTGAGGGTCGATGATCGCATCTTACGTCCGCATTGCAGATTATAAAGAGCTTACAACACTGAACATTGAGTAAGCGGAAGGGATGATGACCGAACTTGACGACATTTAGCAAAATCGCCATACGACTAAACTTCACGAAGGCGGTGTTGATATGAAGCGGATGCCTGATGCTCCTTCCACGCTAAACTTAACAAATGTCTCGAATGCTCTGGCTAGCATATCTAGGCGGAGAACTCAACTTGATGAATGACCGAGCTAGTAGTTAAGGACAGTTGACGATACTTTTGAGGTACCCACTTCAAGTTCTTCAAGTTGGAAAAAGGAAGTGTTTATGTAGTGCAGTGCATTAGTGGCGAAGGAAGCAAGGGAATGCGCCTAACTCGCAAAAATAAGGCTTTCCAGAACTAGTGGAAATAGAGGTTAAACGAGATCACCATGACGGAGAAGGCATGGAAGGGGCATTCGCACGAGATTTCAGTTGTGACAATTGCACAGAAAGCTGACTGCATTAAGTCAACATTGTCTAAAACTGCTTTCTACTGTCACCATGGGTCATGACAAGTTGTTAGAACTTCCCACATGGGAGTTCCTGAAGATAGTGCAGCCTTTACGACACCGTTGATGAAACTCGTTCATTGTAGGTGTGGCATTCACACGATACATTGTCTGGCCCCTTATTGTGCCCTATCGAAAACGTTTCTCGACCTGACATCGGCACGAGTGCTATCAGGAGGAGCCTCGAATTCATCCCCTATGGGGAAAATTTCAGAAACAATTTTTTTGTGAACTGTGCCTTTGAGGAGAGGAGAGCGTGGGGAGCATTCAAGAATATTGAGGGAATAGTGAAGAAGTCAAAGTACATCCACCTTGCACTCACCTTTTCGACACTGCCGTCCTTCTTACTTTTACGCAGGCCTCGAGGTCTTGAACTCCGACGGCAAAATAAACATGCTGTCAGCATCATTCAACACGCTTTTGTAAGAACAAGTGCCCGGAATTTTCCTACACGCGCAAGTTCGGAAGGAAATTCAGAGTTTCAAGCTCCGTCATGGAGAGACACCGACGATGGCTCTGCTTACGCCAGAAATCGGATTAGGTCATCTCACGTTATGCGATCTTGTGACAATGTTGGCCAAGGCGGTTGCTGACTGGACGTCTCGGGGCCTCAAACGAACGTCAGGATGGTCGCCAGTGTGGTGGTCGGACCAAGGAAGTCGATGGTAAACGAGACAGCAGGTGACACAGGTGATGCTTCATGTTAATCTGCAGAAGTTCATCATTTCGAGGACTTTCCTACATTGACATAAAGTTGCCCTACTTTCCCTTCTCTTCTCCCCTTTCCACAACGCTATTACCTCAGGAATTAGAGAGATGAAGTGCTCTAACTCTCTCGCGACTAAGCAGCCCTCGATTTCATGGAGCTGTAAACGGGTTCAGTCGAGTTGAATCGATGCTATGCGGATTTAATACACTCTTTTGAGAGAATCCAAAATCCTCGACCATTTAGTGAATAAACGAAATCCGTGCCAGAGGGCAAATATCCCCGTATTACTGATTCCAGTGAGAACGTGTAACTGAAGTAACGCGATAGAAGTAAGAAGTGGGTTAAGCCGGAAATGCTTCATCTAATACTCCATCTTCAAGCTGAACATAAAGTTACAAATGAGAATGAAGTTTGAAGAACATGTAGACATCGAATAGAATGCGTTCTAACTTCTTCTAGAATCTTCCAGAAAAGCTTCTGAAAAAAAACTTCTGAAAAATCGTACTAAAAAAACGTAATTGACAACCCAATGTCAAAGTAATAGTTCCCTGAAAAGAGCTTGCTCCTTCGCCCACTCTTAGAAACATTTTTGTCTAAATTTTTTCGTTTTTGAGGTTGAACCTTTTACCATCTACAGCTGCTCAACGAATTATATTATTTTACGGTCATGGATAGAAAAACAAACCGCGATTAGCAGCCTGTCGTTGAATGCGTTTCATGACGTCGTGATCTGGGCGTTGTCGATGGCTACCAAAACGCGTAGCGGAGAACTCCTTTATCGTGTAGGAGACGTGATTCTTCGGCGTGTATGAAAACATCATCAGATTCTGAAAAAGTTGGTATGACAATAAAGGATACTGTGTTTAGTCACCGGAGTTTGCGATTCATAATATAGAGAATGACCTATTCATGATCTTCGTGAAAGCCAACCATATGGGCTCTCTAACGGTCATCTTGAATCTGCGTTGAGTATTCGTAAATCATAGGAGCAAGGTTACAGATGTATCTCCTCGCAGCGGTGCACGATGCGGACACCACATGTTGTGCGCAGGGAAGTCGTAGTAGGTATAAAGCTAGGGTTTGCAGAAGACGTGAAGGTCCGCAACCCTGTCGTACTTTATGCTCCGCTTGGAAAGCAGTTTTATGATTTATATTGTTTATCTGCATATTCAAATCATCTCTTTCGAAGGAGTCGCGGTTTAGCCGATCACTACAACATCGTCATAAGAAGGAGGGACAACCGGGTTAGCGAAGAGATCCGACTGGTACTTTTAAAGTTACCCGTGATGGATTAGATCGTGTGATACTTTGTGGATCTCTATCGAATTCCTTGCACGATTTGGTTGGTAGATTGAATTTTCCTTACAGGCGGTTTGCTCTCACCTGCTATTATTGCATCACCAAGTATGAAAGTGGTCCTCTCTGATGGAAAAGAGTATATCTAATGCTGAGTCTGGGTTTTTTGCAACCTTTAACATTCAGGCAGCTGTTGATCTTTCGCATTTATCGAGAAAATTTGTTCTAGAAATCACAGGTGAGGCCTGAGCAGTCGAAAACTTCGCAGCTTTTTTTCTGGACGAAATTCCGCATTTCTGCTTTCCATGGCTGAAGGCGTATTTATTTCCTTGGAAGCGTACTTATATTCAAGTCCACGATGGTGTAGACTGAATTTCAAAAGACTTCGTAACAAAATTTGTAATCAACTATGTGACATTCCTTGCTCGTGCGTTGCGGTCACCTCAGTGTTCATCCGTCAGGAATTAGATACATCAGTTACCTAATGAATCTGGGAAGACGTAATGCTCACCGATTGCGGCAATAAGACATTGTCATCCGCGTTTGAAGAGTGAACTGGCTCAAGTTTTAGTTGCACGTAAGCGTCATCAATTTCACAAGCTGAAAGAAATGGGCTCAGGCTCATAACAGCGCAGGACGTAACGTAAATGAATATGAAGATCCACTACGCCTCGCTCAGTTTTCCACATATGTCATAAAGTGTGTATAGCGCTTAACATTGAAAATCGAGGAAAGATATCTTGATATCTCAGAGGGATTATTCTATAAAGTAGCCCCTCAAACAAAGAGACAGTTCTGTTATCGACTTTTTGCCTGAATTTGAGAGATGAATTCAAAGTGTTCTTCATCCAATGTATGTACTAAATTTCAAGTCACTACATTCCTATCGATTTCACTGATCACTGTTCTATGCACAATGAAGTTCCTCATTCATAAATTGTGAATTATTCGCATGAGGGCGAAAAACTGAACCTGCATCGGTTTTGCGAGATCTACCCACGTAGAATGGCCTCCCAGCCGCACCCATATTCGAGGTAGGAGAAATAGAAGCTGCACACGTCGGATTTGTTACGAAGGCAGGTAAAGAGCAGTAACTGGAAGAAATAATCACTTATTAGGAACATTTGAGATCTCTTCAGCTTCATGGGGAGTCATTCTTGCTATGTTCTAATACACATAAATCGCTAAAATACAGGAACGTTTGCGTGTGTGCGTGTTCGACTGCAAGTTTGCATCACTGTTTACCACTCCGATAGCCCGGCTAACGCCGAAAGCTCCACCTTTTCGTGTAGAGTGGCCTGTCACTTACGTCCTCTACGAATTCGGACGCTCTGATTACAGTAGAACGGGAAATAGAAATTTTGGCAAAACACACACACCCGACACACTTCGTGAGCGCCTGCCATGAGCGGAGTTCTACTCAACTCATGTTTGTCTAAGCAAATTGGTTCATTCCATTTTTTTCCAATACGACTATGCATATTCACTGAGATTAAGCTGTTTTACGCTTCGCTCCTTTCACGAAAACTTGTGCTATCACCTACCATAGAAATCCTTGTACTTGCGTTGCGCTTACCTCGGTGTTCATCCATCAGGAGTAAATAGATAAGTGTTCCCATCCTGTCTCCAAATTCCTACCGAACTTGAGCGCTCTAGGCTCAAATTACCATTATTTTTTGCGAAAGCCCCACCCTTCGTGCGTAAAGCCAGATTATTTCACCTACCACACGTTTCCCATCTTACCTCCTGCACCTCTACCAAATTTGAATGTTCCAGGTCTTATAGGGCAGAAGTTATGAATTTCAGGTCAGACACACACATACACATACACAAAATACACCACCAGACACACTTAGCGGATTGTATAAGTAGTATTCTGTAACATGAAGGTTAAGAATTGAGGATTGCAGGTTTATTCTCACTTGAATATGTTCACAAAGAGCTATCCTAGAAGGGATAATTGGCGTACCGAAAGATAGCAGTTGCAGAAGGGCGCAGGTGAATTCAGGGTATGACTTTCTGTTTCTGCTTTGTTGGGGCGATTTAAGCCTTCCGTCTCCTCAGTGTATCCATGCATGTTTGCGTGGACTGGGCCGTCCGATAACGCATGATTCCAGGCCCTTTTGGTGATTCCAGGCCCTCCTGTCCTTTCCGGGAAGGCTTGGCCGGCCATCCGCATCATCCCACACGTCAGAGTGTGGCAAGCGAGTCAAGAGTCTTAACGGTACCTATATGCCGAAATCAGTATACATATAAATTAGCCTTGATTCTCTTCATCTGATGGAGCTCACAATACGCCACCGTCGGGTAGAACCGCTAGGGAGAGACAACCAGAATTTCAGGGTCATAACAAGCTGCCTAAATAACAAAAATGGTCGGATTCATTGAAGAAATTAGTCATAAATCCCGCAAATTCAGAATCGTCGCCCGAGTGCTAAGGTCTCGGGCTATCGTGGAATAAACAAGCCTAGGCTATGAAAAATAACTAGATTCGGGGCACTGGGTGTCCGATTGCTTGATGGAAGGACTCAGAAGGTTACAGATCTAGTCGAGCGCAGGATCGTCCAACACATATGCCTTCAGGAAACACGGTGGAAGAAGCAAAGGTAAGAGAAATCGGTTACACTACAACGAAGACGATTCGAACAGTTCCGGCCTAAGGAGATCTCTCGAAAACACTGTCTCCCGCGAAGTGTTCTCAAATCATGGCTGTGAAGGTACTAAAAGAGGGGTACTGAACTATGATATTCGTGTACGCAGCCGTAGAGCCGTCGCTCAGAGTACGAAACGATGAGTTCTATGAGCCCTGACAGTGCCGTCAGATCACTCCAGGAAAAGGAAAATTTTCCTCCTGACGGTTGATCTGAGTGGCTGCGTTGGCAGTGGAAGGAAAGTTTAGGTAGAGTTCACGGAGGCAGAGCAATAGGAGCAAGAAATGAAGAGGAAGAAAGGAGCCTAGCTTTCGCGATAGCTTAGCAGTCTGTTTTAACATTTTCTTTAAATGTAGTACCGTTGCCCACTACAGTGAAGGAAGAGGATGTCTGTCATATACCTGTAAGAATATCGACTCTTGACACTGTGAAGGACATCAAATTTTATCGGGCGATGGGCTAGCTCTGCAGCACAGCCCCCTCCTGGCAGATATACCCATCGAGCTCCCCAAAAGAGCCAGGGGTGAGAACTAAGCGTAGAATGCGATGGTGGAAGAAGAATACCTTAAACTGATCACCCTGATCCTCAAAGATCGGCTCGTTGAACATAGAGGAGCACTGTGAAGATTATCCTACAGTGCGCAAACAAATGCTGAGGGAGACTGAAGGTAGATTAAAAGTGGACAAGGCAACTCGGTGTAAAACGATATAGTCCTAGGAGTCGTAAAGCTGAAAAAAGGTGCGTACAAGCGCTGACAAAAAAACGAGCTCTAAATATCTAGCTTCTGAAGTTGCGGAGGCATGCTAAGGCTGCAAGCGGGAGCAAAAAAAAAATACGGTACTGGAAGCCTTGTACGAGGAGCCCGATAGTAGAGGAGGAAAATTGGTTTAATGCAGCGAAAGCCCGGCACCGGGCTACTCAAGACACCAGGGCAGTGACATCTGAAGGAGCCAGCGATGGTGCCATTTTGGGAAGTCAGGCAAAGTCAAGTGCAGGTGGAAAGTGTTCCGACAAACTGTTGACGAACGCCCTCCCGTACAAAGAGCTCATGAATAGAAGCAACAGATGGTCCCATCGCAGATACACGGAGGATGAGGTGAATCGAGCAGTAGTGTGAATGGAGAAAGCCATGTTGGTCCTGATGGGATAAACATTGAGGCATGGAAGTCCATTGAAGAGAGCGGTGCTGGGTGGCTTACTTGGTTCTTGAACATGTATCAAGAACCCAAAAAGGAGAGCTCTAAAAGAGGGAGTTGATAAAGGAAGAAACTCAAATACAGGCGTTGCGAGCAGTAGGAAGATATGAGGACTTGTTTCAACTATCGCGGAATCTCACGAATCTTCATAACTAAGGATTCTCCCACACTACAGGATTTCTAGCCGGTTGGCCAGGAGAGTATGTGGCGCTAACGGCGGCGCATAGGGGAATAAATCGCAGATCAAAATCACCGGTACCTACTCAGAGACGCTGGGATACCCAGCGGACGGCATCCTCATTTCTTCTGAGTCGATATACCTTCTGTATCTGGTCGATATACCCATGCTCTCGTGAGTGAAGAAGCAAAAATTTTACATTCGTGTGGCTTGGAAGGCGATTCGGGGGCGATCGAAGCCTCTCCTCCACTTTGGGATAGCCAAGGTAGCTGCGCGGGTCAACTCAACCCCCAAAGCCTAACAAGATTCTCGACAAAGCAGGGCCTTATTTTTCTGAATCTGAGAGAGCCCCTAATACAGTAACACTCTGCTGCTGTATAAACACGGAGCCATACGATATTGGTAGCTATTGCCTAACCTAACAGCAGCCTTTGCCAGCAGTTTTTTCACACAAGTTACCCTCAACTAGGAAAACACTGGAAGAAAGGAAGAATCATGCGAGTAAGTAAGGTCTCGTAATTATCATTGCGACCGGTCATGTAAAAAAATGGCTTAAAGCTATGATGTAAGAAGTATCGAGAGAGAACGAGGTACTGTTATGCCAAAATAGCTACGCGGTGACAACAAGAGTGTGCTTCGAAGCGTTTATTGCTCCTTCTCGAACTTGGGTAATTAAACCTCAATTGACCTCAACTCGGATAATAGAACCTCAATCGACCTTTAAGGAATGAATGAAGGGAACAATCAGCAACAAAGGAAGAGCAATGCAAAAGGAAGTGAAGTGAAGAAGTCGCGAAGCCCCGCCCTATGTTCTTCCTAGCCGTTTTTATACGCGCGGAACTTTCTGTAATCGTTATCTCATCATGTCCCTAGGCTTTTCTCAGGGCACAACAAAATCGCATGAAAACATTTTTCGCATTTTAGCGTTCGCTTGTTAGATGGAATTCACCACGCAATGATAGTTAGAAACCGTTTTGAAATCGCGTTCCGCGATATATGCCATACGTTCATTGGTTTGAAGAGGGTCTTCGATATAGTCATTGTTCCTGCTTCAAACATAAGAATGCTCCATGAGCTCTTCAACAACTTCGCGATCAGGTGCTCACCATTCTTCAAGTGCTCTAACATCAGGGATGGGAAGCCGTGGAAGTTAGTTTCGACGTTCAGACTATCCTATGGATGAAGTCGTGCCACCAAATATTGAACAGAACGAGAGCTCGTCGAATTTTATAGACCCTTTCAAGACGCGCCTCGGACTGTACTGTACTCTACCTGTGAAAACAACAATGCTCTCAATTTACCGATGCCCTCGGTTATAGACGGGAGTCTGAAGCTCCGTACACGTCAAAGAATGAAAGTTACGCATTTCGTTGCTTGCCCCTAGGAATCGAAGTTCGAATAGGTCTGACATGCGATTTTGTATCGACCGTTTTGGACCAAAGCGACTAAGCACGGATCCTCCGATATGTCTAACAAACATCAAAATGGCAGCCAGCGTGAATGCCAGACGTTTTCACAAAGGCTCCGGACGGAAGAAATGAGTTGCTTTGTACCACTCGGGCGAGGAAGGTCAGATGGCTACACAGGCGACAGAGAGGAAGGGTATCTGGCACCCACTCAATTAAATCCATGATTAACAGACCGATGACGAGAGATGATCCAAGCTCAGCCGCTCAAATTCCTCATACAGCTTTCATTTCGCTCATCCCGGTATTCCGAAGATGGAAATTGTCAAGTGGAAGCCGGACATGAAGTGAGTTTGAAGTTCTGCTTTGATGACACGAATCATTCCATTTTATATTTGCTTCGTTACTATAGGGCACCTTGGTATTCAATTGTGAAAGTGGGGGCGATTAGCACGATACTGCCATCTATCATTAAGGCTGGGGTTCAAACTACAGCAGACTGGTACCTCAGCTCATCGTGAGGAAGACCTTAAATTCGGTGTAATGATAATTTAGTACATTTTGAAAATTCAGTGACTATTTCGAACATTTTGCTCATTCAGAAGGTAACAGTAATGAAAAAGTAAGCAAAAGGGAGGGAAGAGGGAAGGCAGGGATAGCGATAGCTCCGAAGGGATAACGCTGATCGCATCAACCTGCTCTACCTATTTTGAGCTTACGCTCCGAAGATAAACGCCAGAGTCGTTCCAATCGTCACTAACTTCGCCGCGCACTTAGAGACTTGCGTTTCGGGACGCATTTATGTACACACAACCTTCATACACAAGTGCTTCCATGTTTTGCGTAAGTTAAATTGCTTTTTCAAATAAAGTTTGAGCAAGCAGAGGAAGCGGCTCCACAAAAAGGAAGCAAACTGAAAAGACTTACTTAAGATCTGGATCTACTCCTTTTTCTCCAGTCCAAATAGGAACGGCAGCGGCGTTCTCACCAGCACGGTAGAATACTTCACCCGGATTTGCAAAAAGCAAAATATTATCTAGAAAACAAAAGCTTCAGCCTTCTTTGTTCTCCACCAACCAGTGGGAATGACTTTACGAAACTCTGTTTGAAGAGTTTTCAAGCTACCTCATATTTAACATTCTGTAAGTTAAGGTCTTGAGCAAATCTGTTTTCCGCTCTTTCGCATTAGGATCCCATAAATGGAATCTTATCTTTCGGGTTGCCTCCATTTTACTACTGTTATTGTTTCTTCACATAACTATTTAAACAAGAACTGGATAGCCCATCCAGTTATCGCTTGAATTTTTATTTGAATTTATATACTTCTTGTCCATTACCGTGATCAATACAACTGGTCCATCTGCTTGGCAGATGACCTTGCGCAGCACGCAGTTCTCATCCGGTGACCTCGATCTTGAAGTTTGAAGCTCCTACACAACCATTTAAATGGCAAACATCCGGCGATATCAAAGAGTCTGGTCAACATAGGCTATGACAGCCTCCTACACGTAGAGTCCTACTTTTCGAGCGAGTCTCTTCGCGCGAACAGAGTTCGATATTACGCCTCGCCAAATGCGCGAAAAATCGGTAGTCCGCTCGACAGATGAGGAGTAGAACAATAGCAGCTCCAAAAAATGATTCTTCTCAAAGAACTTCTTTGAAAAGAGATTTCGACGAGATTAGTTTTTGCAGAGATGATGATCTGATGTCACGACTTCCCTCACTCGGACGTCGCTACGATCCGGAAACGGATCTTGGCTGCGTACAAGTCTACGCCTTTGGCAAACCGAAGCCGAAAGAGGCGCACAACGCCAACACTGATTCAAATGTGCTAACATGTGACAGATTCAAAAAATGCTGGGAACAGGTACGGCTACTCTCCTCATCCCAATCTCCTCATCCCACTCTTTTCAACTGCCGTCACTACGCCGATCAGGGAGAGGACGCTGCTGCGCTCTGAGTGCTATGGATTGTGCGTACTTGCATTTCTTTTTACCTATGGTCCCTTCAGTATATTTACCACAACTTTGAGCCATCTAAGTGCAGGATAATTAATTATTCAGACGAGAAATACACGCCACGCCAGAACAAAGCGCAAAGAATCAACAGAGTCGCCCTCTAGTTTTAAGCTGATTCATATAAACAATAAACACCAGCGCTCCAAGCATGATTAGTCCATCAGAAACCAATAAAACGACATGTAAAATTACAGAAAGGAAGTCACGGCGGATGAGTTGTACTTTCTATTCTTCTGCGAGGAGGTGATTTCAGTCTCTTGTTAGCAGATCTCAATTACCTTAAGAGGAATTCAACTACGCAGACCATGAAGGAGAACAATACCTTTATGTCCATGGCCTTCAGGCCAACGAATGATTTGCTAGTGATATGTAATCAACAAGAAGAAGTAGAAGTGATTTCAAATGGTTGACGTAGAGATAATTCGAAAATTAAAAACTCACAACATAAGTAAACATCATAATTACTTGGATGTGCTCGTAATGTCCGATATTGATGAAAAAATACCGAGCTGTGCAACAAAACTAATGATTTTACCCTTTGGTGTCCACAGATTTTTTATTACTTTTTATTTACCGCATATATTCGAGAAGAAGTCATTTTCAGTATCTCAGTGAAGAATGGTTTGGCAAAAGGATGTATCATTACCACTATCCTCAATATACAGGGTGCGCCATAAGTATGGGAACAACTTTTCGGACGTCCATAATTTCCTTGTTTGAAGGATTTCCCCAAATCTGCACCTTCCATTATGTTTATGATACACCTTAGCCCACATATCTACTTTGTTGCTCTCAATTTGTCGAATGTCGAAAAACAATGGGGCCTCGCAGACATCCACCAACCGTTTCTTCTTTGCACGCATTTGGTGAGTCCTTTTCCGAGATCGCTCCTTATTTCAACGTTTCCTACGTGACATTCTACTGAATCGCGATGCACAGACAAGACAACAACAAGCCACAAAACGTTCGTCTTGTCTCGCATACGACCCCTTTTCCAAATAGAGCTGCTTGGAAAGCATTACGCTACGGAACCTGCAGAAACATGAGAAAAATGAGTTTTGATTTGATTGTGTGTTCTACTTCGATGAAAAGAGTCTACCGCGAGAAGCTTTTTGACGTGAAGAAGTTGCAGGGAAGAAACAAAAGCCGAGCGCTACTTGCGCGCAGCACGCGCTTTGCCACACTTGCTTTTTACTAGAGGGTGTCCAGCGTGGGAGAAATGTTGGGACCCCAGAGTGTACGTATATTTCGCATTGCGTGTGCTGAAGACGCTGAGGAGAGTCAGATCGCATCTCGTAGCCGTTTTCCCTCTTTTATGATGGTTTGTGCTAGAATCTCTACCATCTCCACCATATCGCGAATATTAGGCAAAAAAAAAAACACAAAATTTAATCCGAACCTCTCGAGAAGGGTTTTCTGAAAGGATACAGCCAAGGGCCGAAGAATTTTTCAGGGACTCGATTTGAAATCTATGGCGCACTTGCCCACGAATGGGAAAAGATCAAGACTGTGCTAAGGAAATGTTAATCCTTCTACGGATTTCCAGGACCACAATGTTACGGGTCGCTGGATATAGTCCATCCTGGAAAGGAAGGCCCGCGCTTCAAAACACACCAGTGCTGCTGCTCTTGAGAAATTACTGAAAAAATCCCGGGCTGGAGTTTCTCAAGGAACTCTGCGTGCCACCGTCGATGAGTAGCCGAAGCGTCTTCGAGCTATAATTAGTGAAAGAGACGGTTATATAAGGTCAGTTTGTGATCGTTGCGTAGATGCGATGCATAGAAAATAACTCATATGGATTCACCATGTATCATAAGATCTGCGGCTTCTGCAGCCCAACCCTTTTGTTACCATATTTATAGAGCTGTGTATAGAGCGCGTTTGTCTGTCCGTCTGTCTGTCTATGCGTTGGTTTGTCTGTCTGTCTGTCTACCGCGAAATCCGATATTACCAAACAAGACCAAAAAAGCTCAGTGAGCTCAGCGGAACATGCACAGAAGTGTGCATTGTCATAGGCGAAACTACTTCATTAGGTTTCTTAACAGCCCATGCGCCGAGAAAAATGAGTTAATGGGTGCACAAGTGAAGCGAGGAAGACTCATCAACGCTGGGCGGAGTGGGCGGTGCTTATCATAGCAATAACTCCGTTCAACGGAACCGTGAAAGCCAGAAAAAATAAAAGTACGGGCAAGACTTGACGCGTGTTGGGCTTACGTAAACGTATCGAAGCTCCGCCTACGACAAGCGGAGCACGCATTTGAATCTTAGATTATTTCTGACAGGGTAACAGCTCTATTCAAAGACATTCTAGTACAAGGAAAAAAAGCGGTTAGACGCTATAGGAGAAATGAGGTCAAAACCTCAGTGGGCGCACCAAAGTGGGCGGAACCAAGATCAAAAATTTGCAACTCTTCCTAGAAACGTTCCAGAACGCGGAAAAGTGGTCAGTGGATATGAAAGGTATTTGGTCAAGCCAGTGAATTGGGCGGGCCAAGATCAAAAATTCACAAATCTGTGCAGAGATTTTTCTGCATTTTTTTTGAGATTTTTTTTTATTTGAAATTCAAAACGGTTCTATATATGAAGTCATCTTCATTAGTCATTACCTATGAAATTGTAATCACCACTTAATATCCTTACTTTATATAAAGCGCTCGCGTCTGTCTGTCCGTCCGTCTGTCCGTCTGTCTGTCTGTCTGTCTGTTTGTACGGAAATTCATAACTTCTGTCTCCGTGGACCTAGGACGCTCAAATTTGGTGGGAGCACAGGCGGCACGATGGGAACACAAATGGTGGGTAACATGACCGGACCACGCCCACAGGGGGCGGGGTTTGTGCAACCAAAATGTTTCAGCGGAAAATCATAACTCCTGTCCCCGTGGACCTAGGACGTTCAAATCAGGTAGGAGCTCACTCGGCAGGATGGGAACACATATCGTGGGTGGCAGGAGCGAACTCCGCCCATAGGGGGCGGGGTTTGTGCGATCAAAATGTTCCAGTGGAAAATAATGAATCCTGTTTCAGTGGACCAAGAAAATTCGAATTCGGCAGGAGTACCCGAGGCAGGGTTGGAACATTAGTGGTGGGTGGCAGGGTCGGGCCACAGAGGGCGAGGTTGGCGCCAAAATTGCCAATTTGGCCTAGGGCGTTCAAACTTGGCAGGAGTATAGGCGGCAGGATGGGAACACTTATGGTGGGTAGTAGGACCGGACTCCTCCCTTTGGGGGGCGGAGTTTGTGTGAAATGTCTGAGCGAAAATCCAAAACTCCCGATCCCGTAGACTTGGAGAGCAAAATCAACAGGAGTAGAGGGGGCAATGGGAACACTGACGATAGAGGAGGCCATAGAGCACAAGATCCAATCACCAGTTGAATCCTAGCGCCTTTGTTGTTTACAATTTAGTCTTGATTCTTTGATATGTTTCATTCGACAAGACGGGTAAAAGCAATGATAGGGACCGATTACGAAATTTGGTTCTTTTCTTGCTTACGACCGCTACCCAGCGAAGTTTGCGATTCAGTGAAGGATCACGGCTTCTCTCTGCTTTGATATCATTCATGGCAAAACTTATCCGACCGCTAGCAATCTTGGATTCTCACTTAATGATGTATAGAGGAAAGGAGCTGCGTTCATTAAGACATTTGATAATGGTATTATTATGACTCGACAACATTTGTGAGTACCATTCAAGGTATTGAGTGCCTACCACGTAAATCCTCAATGGGTCATTATTTTTAACATCAACAGCGACAGATCAAGACAGACAGATTTTAATCAAAGGCATAGGCATCGGCACATTTTGAATATCGTTTGCATGCCCTGTTGTTCCTCTATCGAGCTTCATGTTCCGAAAAGCATCATTCAGTGTTTTCAGCAAAGAAGTGTGCTGTTTGCCGTTCATCACCACTCGCTCATAAAAGGGAGGGGGTCCCGGCATAGGTCGGGCGTCCGACTGTCTCTATATATAGACCGGTAATTTTGTGTGTCTGTTTCTATGCCCGTTTGTGCGTCCTTCCTCACGTAGGCACAACGAAGAGTGCGAATGTCAAGTGAGCGTTGTGGGGAAACAGTCATCAAATGGGAAGTGAACCGATACTGTTCATATTGGTCCTCTAACAAGTCGTAGGTAAGCGGTAGTGGGCATGTGGTGCGCGCATTAGCGAGCGTAGCCCAACTGGTAATATATCTGTATAAAGGAATCGTTTCTATCTGTCCCGAGATCGGTATCACCTGAGGCGGTCGGGACAACTTTGGATCAGGTGGGACTTCGCGCAAGATCACCAGGGCGCATACGAGTTCAAAGGAACCTCGGAATGGGCAGCACATTGGAAAAAAACCTAATTTGATTAATCCAATACTGCCTCGAAGGGCCTACACACCGAGAAAATTGGGTAAAATTTTTAAAAAAAATCGAAAGAATGAGACACATCCCGAGAGAGAAGCGTTCTCGAGTTCAGTTCTTGAACTCTAACTCTAATCCAGCACAGCCTATTACTAGAGGGTGGAAGCCAAAGAAATCATCTTTGTTCAAGTTTTTCGTTGTGACGCATGCTTAGTGTGCGAAGCTCAACTAATAAATGGAAGAATGAACTGGGCTGTCCGGAAAGGAAAGTTTGTGTCATATTTGAAAGAAAATTTCTATAAAGTCAAATCCATCCATTAAACAACATATCGTCCATTCTATTCAGTGAAGGTTCGCCTCTTCCCTATCATTCATTCGTTTCATTATCCTACTCTCGTAGAGGGTTCTAGGCTTAGAATCGACAAGCCATCTCAGGGACTTTCTGCAGCCCTCTGGTAGTTCGAACAAATAACCTTCCAAAAAAATTTGCAGATAACTAAAGAAGTGGTAGTCTGGTGGTGCTATGTCTAGACTACATAGGGGGTGTGGTAAGACATCCCACCCAGGCTCCAGCAATTTTTGATGGGTGATCAAATATAC